CTCACAGAGTCACACAATGCCAAGCGAGGGGTGGGGATCCACTTCCACATCTGCAAAAGGAGGGGATGTGCTTAGATTCCGAAGTCCAGGTATGAATCTAAGAACTGAGGCAGAGGAAGACCCTGGGGCTGGAGACTTGATTCACAGGCAACGGGGAGCCGGGAAGGGCTGTAGATTTCCACAGTCAGGTATGACAGAGCTTCCTTTAGCGTTCATTAGCACTAGGGGGTCCTCAGAGATTCCTCATAAGCAAGGCCTTTGTCTTCTGCTCCCAGTTTTTCTATGTAAGGTGTCTTAAATACTTAAGAACAACATTAAAACAGCACAAATGCGAAGGAGAAAGAGCAGGTTTGGATTATGCATGGCTTCCTATTTTTGATGATAAGCATCAGATCATTTTAAAACGCCAATAGGAAGTAATAAACATGTAGAGTGGTTTATATAAGGCAACCATGTGTCATTCCAGAAACGAGGACAGCGCTAATCAAGCCTCATGGGTGGTATGAAGCTTTCTGACTCACAACCAGCCCTAAGAGCATCAAACAGCTAAGCCTTCACCGGCCCTGGCTAACGTCAAATGCCACCACCATCCTATGTACCAACTCTACCCTCATAAAGGGCAAACCTACTGTACAAAACAGGGGACCAGTTCTTGCATAAGCCAAACACAGACTGTTCTTTAGAGGGGAAAATGACTGTCTTGGATGAGCTGGACTCCTAAGGCATCTGGCCATGTTCTCTATCCCCAACAAATCACTGTTCATCAGTGGCAAAGGAATTTGCTCTGCCGTAACTGCAACTTGCTGGAAATACAAAGGAAAGAACGGCCACTCATTTCCTGACTGTGCTCTGATTCTGCTGGGAGGCATAAGAGCTTGCAATCGATCTGCCAAAAGCAAAATGATCTCATCTTCAAGAAAATTCAGGAGGCTCTGCTGAACCTGAAGCAGAATAAATGGGTGTCTCTACTTCAAGCATAACTCAAAACATCTCCAATTTCCTCTGAAAGGATATTCTACCCATCTCTCACAGGGCCTGCGTATAATCTGTCAAATTATTACAGTGAGCTTGTGCTGGGAGAGCGAGACAGGAAGGAAACCCCCTGGCTTGCTTCCTCCTGCATAGAGGAGGGTCTTGGGACCACCCTGAGTCTGACCACCTCCCCACACCAGGCACTGCCACTTTACCGATTCCATCCATCCCTGTGCCACCCCCACATTCACACTCCCAGAGGCCAGCCACAGGGGAGGTTCACCAAGAAGGAAAACGGAGGCTCTGGCAAACGCTCTGTAGGTTAGATGTTAAGCAGGTGCCACTTGAGGGAGTCCAGGGCCTACGTGCAGGCATACACTATGTCACAGGGCCCCACACACTGCCCCTACAAAATGGGAATGCCGTCCTTCAGTCTGGCTGAATGAGAATCATCATTTTTTGACTTACAGACTTCTGGGCCCTTCTGAGCGATTCAGATTCAACAGGGGGTGGGGGTGGCAGGCGGGTAGCAGGATGACGCAGCTGGTCATCTGTGTTCTTAAAAGGCTTCCCTGGTGACTGCCAGGCTTAGGAATCTGTGCTGGTGACCTCCGAGATCCGCAGAGCTAGAACAGCCCTGCTCCTTGACGGAGAGGGGTCTCCCTCTGGTCCCGGCGAGGTTTGTGAGGGGGCAGCCCAGCGACATACTCCAAAGTATCCAGCCTCTGTTTATTCAGTGAGGACACCCCAGAGGAGCGGCTGCATCGGAACTGAGCATCTCTTGATTCCAAAGCCAACGCCACCCTCTCTGCCAGGGAAGGGGCCTGGACTGGTATGAACTTGCCAGGGGATTAGCAGGAAGCCCACGTGTGCAGAAAATCGATATCAAGGAAGGCTGCAGGTGGGGAGGTTCAATGGCTCAGAGTGGAATGGATAAAGCCCACTGTCTTTGCCTCTAGCTGTCCTGCCTCTGCAATGAAGGGCAAGACACTTGCTTTCACTTGCTCCCTCTGCCAAAACAGGGATAATGAGGGGCCAGCCCGGTGGCAGAAAGGTTAAGTTCATGCGCTCTGCTTTGGGAGCCCGGGTGCAGACCTATGCACCACTCATCAAGCCATACTGTGACAGCATCCCACATACAAAATAGAGGCAGAGTGCCACAGATGTTAGCTCAGCAACAATCTTGCTCAAGCAAAAAGAGGAAGATTGGCAACAGAGGTTAGCTCAGGGCTAATCTTCCTCACCAAAAGAAAAGGGGGGGGGGGGGGAGGAGAGTGGATAAAGAGCCACTCTAACCACTTCAGGGGAATGTGGGACGATCAACTGAGGACAGAGGATAAGACTAAATAAAACACCAAGTTCTAGTCTTTCTCTTCTTTCCATAAAAGTCATTCCTTTACCAAAATGGTTAAACTGTAAACACCCAGAAGCTGTGTTCCCCAAAAGAGGCCTTCCTCTGTTTTTCATGCTCAATGAATAGCTCTTTATTGACTGATAACATCCCCTCTTGAAGGTAAGGATGCTTGAAGGGTCCTCTCGGCCCAGCTCCTCCAAAATGACCCTTTTCACATTCCACATTATACACCAGGACCCTTTTCTCGTTATACAATAAGAAACCAATTTCTGATATAAAGTAATACTGAATTTCCACTGTATTTAGTCTGGAGTGAGGTGTACTTCATATAAGTGAAAGTAAATTAGTCACCCAGATGTTCTGTGTGTATCAAAGCACGTGTTTGTAAAGCAAGGCAGTGCAAAGAGCTAATGAAGCGAATGTTTTCTCCTCACGTCTTGGTGCCATGCTGACAAATCTCAAGTAGTTAACTTGGTAAAGAGAAGTCTTTTCCTGAGTTAGTCACATCCAGCCACTACCAAGCAATGACAGCACAGAAGTTACCCACCCACACTAGGTGGTCAGGAGGACACAAAAAATAATCAATTATTCCAGCCCGCACACTTCACAGTTTCATAAAAATTCAAGACACTTCTACCTTCTTCTGAACAGATACACTGCCTGTTATTAGGATTTTCTGGTCCAGTTCTCTGTCTGCTGTTAGTACTAGCTGAGTGACCACTGGAAACACACTTGAATTCTCTGGGGTTTTCCTCAGTAAAATAAAGAGGTTGAACTAAAACATCTTTAAGCAGCTTTCAACCTTAAAATTCTGACTGTTAAATTTTCAAATCAACTTTTCCAGCGTCAGACTTCTGATTCAGTAGCTCTTACTTTCTACTTGTGGGGAACAATAACAGTAACTCAACCTGTCTTTCCCCTCTTGAAAGGGATAACGAAACCACAGCCTAACCCATCCACCAGATGGGTAACCGAAGATCTCAACTTGCTGGGTGAGTTTCACACTGAAAACAAACTACTGGCAATCTGGGTCTCGTACTGCACTCACAGTGGATATGTTCAAACTTGATCTTCACGCATAACCAAGGATGCCAGCAGACTCTGACCATCCCTGTCTCTATAGGAAGGAAGCCTCAAAATGATAGCTTTTTGGTTTTTTTTTTTTTACTACGCTAAAGATTAACAACCATGCACACTGCAGTAATAGGGGGGGTTTGAAAAGAGCATTAGTTTCACCCAACAATGGGCTGACCAGACACACAAAAAAGAATATATAAGCATGCCCAGCCCAGCTAAGTACAGCCTCTTGTACTAATTTTCAGAAATAAATACACAGTTAATCTCTTGTAAATGTAAGCTGCTGAATATATAATGTCTCACTGTTGGGCACCAGAGTGTTAACACTAGTTTTAAGAAAAAAGCACATAAAAATGAAGGTGTATAATACAGATCTTTTTTCTAAAATGATGATGTAAAAAGCATTTTTAATTTTGTGAATTTTTAAATCTTCAAAATAACTTACTGGCTCTTTACAGCTTTTATGTTTATTTTGCCCAGACAGCATAACATTACTCTTTCTTTACGTGTATTTCTTTTTCCCAAGACTTTTATTTTGAAAAAGCTCAAATTTACGGAAAATTACAAGAGTAGTACAGTTCTAACTTTTTAAATTAACAGACATTTCAAATTTGTATTTTCAAATTTTCATGTTCCTAAGGGTTAAGTAGTACATATCCTTGCATATACGTAAAAGAGGCATATTTCTGCTGTATTCACAAAAGTATTACTACTCAGTTATTTGTGTGTTAGAAACAAACCCTAGGTATTTTCATACCATAACAAGGAAGGGAATGTATGCCATTAAAAAAAAAAAATCATTCTCTTTCTCGCCAGTGTGAGGCAATGTCGTAAGGCAATGGCCAACTATGAGACAGTCTCACGTATTTAGTTTAGAAACTGCCTGGAAGAAGAGCATCTTGTTTTTAAACAAGTCACACTAGAACATATTCTTCTTGAAAACGGTTTCAAGCAATAATACAATTCTAATTTCAAACGCAGAAAAGGGGAAAAAAAGGAATGTATTCACATCACTCTCCTGAGTCACTCTGCGCCTGAGACTGGAGAGCAAAGTCAAGAAGCCCCTCAACCAAGTGGGGGTCCTTCAGGGGGTCAAATTCCTACGAGACCACCACCCAAGCCTGCGAACCGGCCCCTGGCGCCCACGGAAGCGCGAGCAGCACAGCGAACCCGGGAGCTCAGGCCGGGGAGCGGGCGGCGGCCGAGGCCGCGGCGGGGCCTGGCCCGGGCCTTCGGCGCTGACCAAGGCCGCCCGCCCCTCCCGGGCCCTCGAATCGAGCTGGTGGACCGGACGTGGCGCCACCGCGCGGGTCGCACTTCCCGGGCCGACCCCTGGAAACCAAATGCGGCCCGGGGAGGACAGTCCCCTCCGTGGCCCTCCCCCTCGCCCCGACGCCGGCCAAGGGCGAGCCCGGAGGGGCTCGTAGGGGCGCCGAGGGCCGAGCCCTGGAAGCCGGCGTCCGCCGGGGGACCGTGCGTCCCAGGTGGCCTTCACCGCCCTCCGGGGCCGGGCGCCTCGCGTCCCCGCAGCCCGGCGCCGTCCCCCGCCCTCGCCGTCCAGGGGGCCGCCGACCGGCGCAGCGCGGGCCTGGCTCACCTTGGGGCCCTCGGGGGGCACGCGCGGGTCATTCCACGTCGTGGTGCGGCTGTTGTGGTCCACGAAGAAGGGCCAGCCGGTCTGCGGGTCGATCTTGATCTCCCAGCCGGGGGGCAGGGGGTCGCGGTCGCTGGCGCCGTTGCCGGACGCCATCTGCACCATGGGTGAGTGGGTGGCAGCGCTCATGCTGGGTCGGGGTCGGCCCGGAGGGGCGGCCGCCGAGGTGCCGGGGTGCGGGGTGCGGGGTCTCGGGGTGCTGGGTCGCGGGGTGCCTGGTCTCCAGGCGCCGAGTCGCTCACTGGCTGCGGCCGGAGCAAGAGCCGTGCGCGCCGCCGACGTGTCCGGGAAGCCGGCGCCGGGCACCTTTATGAATTAAAGGAGGGGGTGACGTGGCCCGAGAGGGGTGGAAGTGTCTGGAAATAGCCTCCTCGCTGCCAAAGGGGAAGGAGGAGATAAAGGGAGGTAGCAACTGGCCGGCTAGAAACTTCTGGTCCCATCCAGAGAAGTTGGCGGCGGCGCGAGCTGGATGCGGAGCTCCGCCCTGAGTCATTGGCTATAATCGTGGCGGGGCGGGCCGGGGGCGGGGCCTCAGCCCCCCCCCCCCCCCCCCACCC